CCTCTTGGTGACCCTCGCTAGCGCTGCCAGCACCGCCAGCCCCGGCGGGTCGCGTTTCATCCCCACCGTGACCCCCGTCCCTTGGCCGTGCCCTGGCCGTGCCGGCCGCGCCGTCTCCCCCCACGTTGCCCTAGGTCCGCGTCGTCGCCGTGCCAGGCCGAGCCAGGCCGTGCCACTGCTTGTCGCCACCGGCCCGTTACACAATAGTAGGAGCAACGAACTGTCTAGCCAGCCGCCCGATTCCGAGGAATCGCTCTGTCTCTGTCGCGCTGATTGGCCGGCGCGCAGGGGTGCGAGGGAGACTGCCCCTCGTCGTCGCGGCGTCGCGGCGAGCAACACGCGGGGGTCGCGGCTGGAGTCCCCCTGCCCCCTCCCCCTCCGGAAATGTGGCAATTTGTGGCGCGCTGTCCCGTCGACGCTGTAACGTCCCAACGTCCCCCTCCGATGGCACGCCGAGGCGGTGCCGTGCTCGGCGGGCTGCGGGATTTGGCGGATTTGGCGGAGAAAACCGCTGACACGCGAAGACACGCCCCGTCGCCGCGGCCCGACCAGGCCCTACACCCGAAAATCGATTTGGGAGCATCGGAAGGGAGGGAGGTGTGCCCTTCCTGCCCTGCCTGCTCTGCCTGCCCTTCCTGGCTGCACGATGCACTGCGAAAGGGCCTTCGCTCCGCCTCTGGTGCCTGTGGAACAAATTTTCCATTATTTTTTGTCGTTGTCATTTTTCGTTGCGGACGTTTTAGCAAGATGATATCGATGATTTCAAAATATTTTGATGTACTTTTTTTTCTTCTAGATTGTAATTTTGGAAGTCGTGGGAATCGGTCGGCGGTGTCCGTGATCTCGTCCGCGTCGAGTCCGTTAATCGCGTGAGGTGTCGCCCGGCACACTGGAAGGCCGAACGCGTCGCTCTGTCTCTCTCGCACTCGCGGGTCGCTTCGGAGGGGTGCGTGCGAGAGGGTCATGTCCGTGAGGGAGGCCAGGCTTGAGGCCAGGTGGCGGTGGCCGTGGGGAGGGGGCTGGTTACGGAAGGCGGCTCTGGCTCCGCTACACCGTTAGCGCAGTGCTCGCACCTCGACCCCCCGGGGTGATGGCGGTGCCAGAGGCGGCTAGAGGCGGCCACAGGCCTCGCTGGGAAGCAGGAAAGTGAACCGCCCCCGTGGGGAATCGAACCCACGCCCCGTAAGTGGCGGCGGTTTTTCCACCGTTTTTTTTCGACACGAGCAACAACAAGCCAAGGGCGGTGCGGCGGCGCGGCCCCAGGGATTACGGCGGTGCGGGGCGACATCTGCCGCGGCTGCAGCCCGACTCGGCCGCTGTCTCTCTCGCTCCCCCACGCCCCGTGAGTGCGAGAGAGAGAGCGCGACGCCTGCTGCGGGGCAGTTTTACCAAAATAAACCCCCGAAACAGGAAGACGGAGGGGAAACTGCGAGTTCAGCGGGTCAGACCCGGCGAGCCGCGCTGAGCCCGTTTCCTTGACTCGCTCTTTTTTTCGACCGCGGCCTGCGCCCTTCGGCCGGGATGCGCTGCCCTTTCGGCTCTCTCTCTCTCTCTCTCTCTCTCTCTCTCTCTCTCCCTCTCTCTCTCTCTCTCCCTCTCTCTCTCTCCCTCTCTCTCTCTCCCTCTCTCTCTCTCCTACCTTCACGACCGGGGTCCGCTATCTCGGCCGCCCCTTCGGCAGGAGGAGTCCACCCCTGGTCGTATCGCCTGTGTGCGTGCCTTTCTGCCTGTCCGTCTGCTCGCCCGTTACCGGAAGGGGTCCGGATTCCCGGAGGATCTCTGGAGATGCCGGAGACTGTCTGGCGGCGGGCGCGGCGGCGCGGCCCGCTGGGATGTCTCCCGGATCGATGCAAGACGGGCAGGACGTCTCCGTGCCGACGGGCCGACGTCTCTGACTGCCAAGACCGCCACGCCGGGCTATGACAAATTCAGCTCGCATGCCGCGGTGCCACGCCCATTGCCTCCGCCGCGCGCCAGTGGTGCTTTCGTCGCTCTGTCTCTCTCGCACCCTTATGGATCGCCCCATGCGTGCATGTCCGACGCCCGCTCTCCCTCGCACTCTCTCTGCAGGGCTGAGCGACCCAAATAGACGGCCGCATGATGGTCTCGCTCAATCCCAGACAATGTCAAGTGCGCCCGAACTTGCCCGCCCCGTGAATCACGTCGTGTATCGTGCCTCGAAGGCGGCTGTCAATAATTCGGTCGTTTTGGCCCGTGCTGGTGCACTGGCGGAGGTGGAGCAGCGCCACTGTCAAATGCTACACTGACCGATTTTCTTGTTGTTCTCCTGGTGCATTACGTGTTGCCGTGCGTGACGCCGCCCCGCAGACTGAGAGTCGTTATCATCGCTCCGTCTCTCTCGCACCCAAACGCGACGCCCCACGAGTGCGAGAGAGACGGAGGCATCAGTCTGGCGCGTGTCGGCGGCGTCGATCGCTGTGGCCGGCCTTGTTTCGGGATGGCCGCCGTTAGTCGTGCCCACCGATTGGTCACACAGTGTGGTGGAAAACGCTAACGTGAAGGCAGATGCGTTTCGTCGGCTGAAGAGCATTTTCCCGCCGGGAGCATTTCGCCCCGAAAAAACAAGCGGCGTACGTGGCCTGGGTTTGTGAACGGGCCGCGGTTCGGGCGTTGGCAACGTCCCGCTCACACTCACGGGCCGGGGCCAGGGCCAGGGCGTGAGCGAGACAACGAATCGGCCTGCTGATCGCGACCAAAGCCAAAGCCCCTGGTGGCTTGTTGACGGCCCCGTCCTCGCGCCGTCTGGGGCGGGCTGCCGCGTCTGAGGGGGGTCGCTCTCTCTCTCTCGCACCCCTGGGGCGCAAGAGAGAGAGAGAGACGGGGCACGCTGTTCGGCCGCCACGCCAACACCTCATTGCCATTCTGGTCGCAGCGGGATTGCTCCCCACCAGTCACCCTTCACCACCAGCGTGAGGAGGGGGAGGGGCTCGCCAATCTCTTCCCGTTGACGGCGGCCGTCTGTCTGTCTGCTTGTCGTGTCGCGCGGTGCGCCGAAACACCCCAGCCTTATCTCTGGCCACCTCCAAGTGGCGGGCGGTGCGGCGGGGCTGTGCCAGCACAGTGCGGCTCCAGGATCTGCCGGCGTGGCGCCGCGTGGCGTGCCGCGGCGGGGGTGTGAAGTGACGAGCCGCGCGCCGCCCGCCCCGCCCCGGCGCGGCATAAGGCTGCGGGCATAAATTTGAGCACCCCCTCCAATCCCGGGCGGGGCGGGGCGGGCTGCGGTGAGCCAACCCCGCGCAGGGTAGCGCCGTGAAGTGCTCTGGCCGACTGTGAGAGGCGTGGCGGGAGAGAGAGAGAGAGAGAGAGAGAGAGAGAGACGCAGCGCTGTTGCGGTGGCGGAGCAGCGCGGAGGTGGTTGTATCGATCGCCGGGGCGCGGGGGCGGCGGGGCGGGGCAGGGACCCCGGGGCGGGACAGTTGGTCCCCGCCGCACCCTCCTTGACGGGGAGCTGTCTGAGAGGCTTGGCGTTTCTCTGGCACGCCGGCACGCCGTGCTATACACTGTACCTGCAGGGGCGTGGGGTGGGCCGCCCATTTAGCTTGTGTGTGTGTGCGTGTTCTCCCTCGCGTCGTTTTCCTTTTTAGCACATTTTCCCTCTCCTCCTCTTTCTCTCTCTCCACCGCCGCCTCCGCGTCCCCGAGGGTCCCGTCGAACCGGTTTGCCCGGGCCGAGGCCGGGCCCCGGCTCTGAGGGATGGCCGGGGTGGTGCCGCGCCGTTAACCTCTGGCCTCGCCGCCCTGCGCCGCCCGCAGTCCGCCGGCCTCTGGCGGCCTCTGCCCCGTTCGGTCGGACCTTGGCTCGGACACGGCGCGGCCGCCCTGGCCTCGGCCACCCCGCAACCCCGCCCCTCCACACCCTTACCTTTGCCTTGCCGTGGTCCTCGTCCCTCCCCTGCCGGGCCCCACACGCCACCGCCAGGCCGGAGGGCGTGCTTGTGCCGGACCGGGAGTCGCGTTGACTGCGCGATTCGGGTGTCAAGTCAACCGACTTGACTTCGAACTCCCTCCAGACTTCCTTCTGTCCAGCACTCCAGTCTCTCCCTTCGCCATTCACCCCCAAGTAGGCAGTCTCTCTGTCGCACTTGTGGGGCGTCCCGCATCAGTGCGAGAGAGACAGACTGATAAGCTGACTCCGGCCCGCCGGCCACAGAGCAGCCACTCATCCGGGACGCTGCCCGCGGACTGATTCCGTTTTCCTCGCTCTGCCTCTCTCTCGCACCTCCACAGGAAGCCCCACGAGTGCGAGAGGGACTGCAGCGGCGGTCGGGGAGCCATTGCCACTATCAAGGCGATCTCTATCTCCCTCCTCCTCTGCCTCCAGCAGCCTGTTTCTCTGTCTCTCTCTCGCTCTCGTGGCTGGGGCGTCGCGCGAGAGAGACAGAGAGAGGGAGGGAGTCACCGCCCCGCCATTGAAAGCGACTTGTCAATATCCGGAGGGGAAGCGCGCCGCGCGCCGCAGGGACGGCAGGGAGCCTGCCGGGCATGCCGCGCCACTGCGAGGAGTCGCCGCAGGGACGGGGCTCGCCGCATGGCCGCGAGGGTGCGAGAGGGACAGAGACAGCGACCCTCGGCGGGCGTCCCTCGCAGTGTCATATCAAGAGCAGCCCGCTGGCGGCCCGGCTGACGGCTGGCCGGCCTGTCCGCCTGCGGTGTAGGCACCACGGCGTGCTTCCCTGCAGTGCCGAGTCGGGTGGCCTACGTGGCAGGCGCTTCACAGAGGGCGGAGGCAGACAAGACTCGTGACGCGTTTTGAGCTCCAGAGTCGCTAAATGGGGCTCGAACCGAACGTGTGACCCCACCAATGGGTTCCTCTTTCGGAGAGCAATTCATTGGTGGGGCCACACGTTCGGTTCGAGTCCCAATTAGCGACTTTGCAGCACGAAACGCGTCTTGAATTTTGGCCGCTTCCACTGGTTTTCCGGCCCACGCTTCACCCTTCTGACGCGCTGACGCGCTGACGGTCCTCTCCATGTGTTGCAGGCCTCTCGTCCAAGCACCCCGGCAGTCCCGTGCCCGCCTCGGTGCTGCCGCCCGCCAAGCAGCCCCGCACCGCCTCCTCGCTGGCCATGTCCGGCGGCCACACCGTCCCAGGGCCCGGCCCCGGTGCCGGGGCAGCCAACGCCGGCGCCGCGTCCACAGGCCACTCGGGGCACGCGGGCCAGGGCCACGGCCAGGGCACGCAGCCGCCCACGTCGCAGCCCTCCAACGGCGGCAGCCGCTCTTTCGCTGCGGCACTGAGGAACCTGGCCAAGCAGGCCGTGTCTCCGGCAGGTGAGGCGCGCCCAAAATCCCAATCAGTGGAGAAAAATTTAAAAATAATAAAATGTTGTTCTAAAGTGGTGCCTTTTCAAAATTGCACAAAAAATAAGTTTAACTAAATTTGATACAAAAAAATGTTTTGAAAATACATTTGAATTGATATGTTTTTAAAATACATTTGAATTGATATGATTTAAAAATCGAATCAACTCTAAGTGTTTGAAAAATAAAATAACATTTTGTTGCTTTGCAGAGAGAGAGCGGGAAGAGGAGCCCCGCCAAATGTCGCCCAAGACCCGCGGGCCGCAGCCCCTCGCCTCGCCGCTGGCCTCACCGCTGGCAGGCGTGGACGGGCGCAAGGTGCGTGTCCGTCTGTCTGTCTGTCTGTCTGTTCGTCCCTGTATCAGTCCGCGCAGGACGGCAGGCTGAAGGGCTGCTTGTTGCAGGACCGGCTGGACAGCCACCACCACCTGGCCGCGTCGCCGCTGGCTGACCGCGAGCCCACACGCAGCGGCTTCCAGCCCTACCGGCCGTCGGCGTCGGACGAGTCGCGCGCCCTGCCGCCCCACGCCTCGCCCCTGGCCTCGCCGCACGCCCCGCACAGCACCCACGCCCCCGCGCACGCCCCGCCCCCCTTCGGCATGGACCCCGCGGCGCACGCCGCGCACAGCGCGCTCGCCTACAACCCCTACGCGCTGTACCCCGCGCAGCTGCACCAGGCGTACCGGTGAGTCGCCGCGCCGGCAACTAGGCTCAACTCTAGACGCGTTTTGAGCTCTAGAGGCGCTGATAAGGACTCGAAACGAACGTGTGACCCCACCAATGGATTCCTCGTTCGGAGGGCAATCCATTAGTGGGGTCACACGTTCGGTTTGAGTACCATTTAGCGACTCTGGAGCTCAGAACGCGTCCGGAGTTTCGGCCGCCTCCACCGGCCTTCTTTCAAATCCATACTGAGCGTCCACCTGGTGGAAATTTTTCCGCGTGTTTTTCTAACCAGTTTTGTCCGGTTTCCCCCTGGCAGGCTGGAGGAGCAGCTGTACCTGGAGCGCTGCGGCATGCTGCGGTCCCCGCACTCGCTGTACCCGTCCTACCCCGTGGGCGGGCTGGGCGGCGGCGTGGGGGCTGGCCTGTCCTCCCTCTACGGCCTGCAGGGCGGCCTGCAAGGTGGCCTCCAGGGCCTGCAGGGGCTGCGCTACCCGCCCGCGCTCCCCGACGTGCTGCCCTCGCACCTCGGCATGCTGTCGCCCGCCATGGCGGCCGAGCGCCTCAAACTGGAGGAGGAGCACCGACTGAGGCTGCGAGAGGAGGAGAAGGAGAAGGAGAGGGAGAGGGAGCGGGAGAGGGACAGGGAGCAGCGCGAGCAGCGCGAGAGAGACAGGGAGAGAAAGCAAGAGGAAGAGAGAGAGCGCGATAGTGCGCGGCGAGAGAAGGCCAAGCGAGCGTCTCCCTCGCACACCTCTCTCTCACACCATGACAGTACAGGTGAGAGTGTCAGCCGCAGCACTGCTGGCCACCTCACTCTTAAAGAATAGCCTGGTAATGTTACACCTTGACGCCATGTCGCTACCAGTCCCGTGGAGACAGACTCAGAGACGTGTCCCTCTCTCTGTTCCAGCTAGGAGGCCACCCGTAGTGGGTTTTGGCGGCGACCCCCCGGCCACCGCCTCGACCGCCATCAGTACAACGACGACGATGAGCACTGCGAGTGGCCTCCCTGTAGCCAGTACCGCTTCTACTACTATTGCTTCCACCTCATCCACTACTACTACTACTACCGCCGCTGCCACTACCTCATCCTTCCCTTATGCCTACGGCCCCTACGCCGCCTACCCCACCCCGCTCTCGTCGCTGTCGTCGTTCGCCACTTCGTTGACGTCGACGCTGACGACGCCCATGCCGTCTGCGGGGGCCTCACCGCCCGCCGCCCCGCACACCGCGCCCCCCGCGCCAAGCCCGCCGCCGACCACTGCCGCCGTCAGCACGCCCGTCATCACGCCGGCAGCCAGCGCGGCGGCGCCGCCACACGTGCCCTCGGTGCCCGTGTCCATCCCCCTGACCATGCTGGGCAGCCCGGTGGCCTACTCGCCGCCCTCCACCACCTCGGCCAGCGGGCCTGCGGGCGGCGCGGCGCAGACGGCACAGACCACCGTCATCAGCGTGCCGACGGCCACGGCGTCCACGGCCGGCGCAACGACGCCCTCTGTGATCGAGGCGACGCCGCCGCCTCCCCCACCCCCGCCATCTAGTCAGCCCCCACGCCCCTCCACCCTGTCGCTGCGCCCTCACCCGCAAGACGGCGGCAGCGCCAACCAGTCCTCAACAACGTCTACCTCAAGCTCGACCACCACCACGTCGGTCATCATGTCCACCAACAAACTGTTCCCCGCCAGCACCACCACCTCCAGCACCAGCAGCATGGCGGCGGCCCTCACAATCGGCAGCCTGTTGTCCACCTCGCCCGCGGGGTCGGGGGACTGCCCCCCGGCCTTCGCGCTGCCCTGCCCGCCGCGCGTGTCCGCCATCGTGAGCACGAGCGCGGCCGCACACGCCCCCGCGCCGCCCCCGCCGCCACCCACACCGCCCCCAGCCCGTTCACCCGCCCCACCAGCACAGCCAGCGCAGCCCCCGGCCCCCACCGAGGGCGAGCGGGCGGCCACCGCGGACGCGCCGCAGCCGCCCCCCGCCATCGTGAAGCAGCTGCACCAGCTGACGGCGCTGAGCCTGCTGCAGAACTCGCAGCCCGTGACGCACCCCAGCCCGTGCGTCGGCAGGACCTACAACTACCAGAAGGTGAGGCCCAGCCCGTCAGCGCCGTGGTGGTGGCCCTCGCCCTGGACACATTGCCTAACCTGTCTTTCTCATCCCCCTAGAAGGAGAACGTCGTCAGCAGATTGGACCAAGTGGAACGTCGGCGGAGAGAGATGCAGCAGAAGCGGCTGGAGACCCGGTCCAGGCAGAAGCAGCCCCGGTTTGTCAAGCAGCGCGCCAGGCAGGACTTGGTACACCGCCACCCCGCCCTGGCGGTGGCCCTGCCGGTGGCGTCGGCCCAGGGCAGCAACGGCCTGCCTCTGGAGGGAGCCGCCCTGACGGACGAGTCGGACTCCGACTCGGAGGAGTGGTGGGACGACCCCAAGTTCGACGTCCTGGTGACGTCGGGACCGCCCACACCGCTCCACGCTCCTCTGGAGAAGCTGGACTTCCTCGGCTACTTTGGCCTGACCACCATCGACAGACGCCAGTGTAGGTTCTTGACTCGAGGAGTGTTGGAACCATGGAACCGACCGTTTCTAATTTGTGTCTGTTTTCCTAATTTCAGATTTAGAACTTCAAAGGCTCCTCAACGGCTCTGACAGAATGGCTTCTGCCCTTCTGGAAGACTCGGACGACCATCTGGAGCAGTCGGCGAATGGCTTGCTGCTTCCTCTTCCAACCCATCCTCCAGAAGTGGTTTGCGGAGGCACAGACTATCCAAGCAAAGTACAGTTCTTAAGGGAATTGGAGCTGAAAACCACCACCCGACGGGAAAGAGAAGGTACTGACTCTTAAAAATCTGCTCTATAAAACCATAGTTCCTGTCCAAATACATTGGCTAAATCTGTACCATACTTTATTTTTAAACGCAGATTCTGAAACATATTGGATTGCCTGTGAGGGTGAAAAATCAAGACGAGGAAGTAATTGTAAAATTGCCAAGTACCTTTTGACATACCGAGAATCTCAAAAGAAGAGATCCAAACAAAATTCCGTCCTTGTAAGTCTTTCGCTGTACCTGGATGCAATGCAGTTATTGCGTGCAGCTTAATGTTCCTCAGTTCTAATTTATTTTGATGCTCTGTTCTCAAGGCTTCTCAACGAGACTTCTGCAAGCCAGTTGCATCTCGACATGTTCCGTCCATCTGTGATAAGCTGCTTGGGTTGTCATTCTCTGGAATGGGTGTATCTGCTTCATCTCCGCAATCGTACTTACCGCTTGTCAGGTCTGCACTGCCCTGTGTACTTGACGTTGTCCTTCCTGCCATGCTGAGCCAGCCCAACGGCGAGCCTCCTGAGTCTGATTCAGAGAGTTCTGCAGAAGACGCTGACAATAAAGAAGATGAACAATGGCCTGGCATTGAGGCAATATTTAGTTCATATGTTAACTACCATAAACGTGAGTTCTAATCCTGTTTTCTTAAATCGAAATTTATTTTTCTGATAAGGTGATTGATAATATGCAAATTCCTCCATCTTTACAGGGACGAATATTGAACTCTCAGTACTCCGCTCTCACATGTCCATGTTAAAAGAGCAGGTTTCACAAAAAAACAATGAATTTAATGCTCTAGAGCAGAGATTGAAAGATTTAACATTGATCAAGACATCACAAGATGTAGAGCGAATGAGGTTGCAAAATTGTTTAGATAGCTTATCAAGCTACTTGAATGGACTGAAGACTAACTTACGGTATAAGAAACCTTGTTGAAGGATTTATTGCGGGTAGCCGTTTCTGGAAATCTTTTATGTGTATGATGATAAGTCTTGCAAAACAGATTTGCATGTGACTGATTCAGGGATCAACAGATGTTGGTTTCCAAGCCAAATGGTTGATTTGGTCCTTATATTAATTGCTTACAGCCATAGGGTGAGGGATGTGATACTGTTCGATGAGTTAATATAAACCATGTACCTGAGAAGTAATATGATGAAACCATTTATCTTTCAATTCTAGCATGGTTCTAAGGTCCCTTAAAATGCTTGAGTGTTTTTTTCCATAAAATGTGATTGCTTTATTAGACACTTTTAGAGATGTGTGGTCTCTATTTACCATTTTGTCAAGTAAATGCTGTGCCCACCTACTACACATATAATGTATGTGAAATAGCTGGCCAAATTTCCCCTTTAACTAAAAACTAGAATCATGCTGGCATTGGTAGATTTTATGTTCTTTTTATAATTATGAATGTTCAATATTGAGTACTGGTCTGCTCTCTGCAGCCGTTTCCCTGTACAATAAATCGCGCTCTTCAAATTTATTGGTTGAACCTGGATTTGGGATCATTACAGATCATTGATGAATCGAATGAAATCATACTTTATTATAATGGGGAAAGCTGACAAGTTCAGTGTGTAATTGCTGATGCATTTTCAAAACAATTATTTATTGATAATATGTCGACTCCAAACTGTCGGCATCAAATGCTGTGATATCTCTCGTTTCCTTTACACTAATTTTTACTTGAGGGGAGTTCACCATTCATATTTTTACCATTTTTTTTTAATAGAAGGCCATGGATATGTTCCTTCTGTTTTATTATTTTTTAAGTAAGCTTTTGGTGAGAATATGGTGGATAGTCAAGAGAGTTTATGTGCAACTTTCCTTTGTTTTGAGTACCATCTTTTAGTTTTGTGCTCTGGCAGGCTTTTTAGTGCCGACCAAGCCTAGTCTTGTATTTATTCCATGCCGCGGTCGGAGCTCCCTGTGTCCCTGTCCTCCCTGTTCCTTTTTGTTTTGTGCTGCTCCAAAGCACAGTGTGATGACCCAAGGAAAAATTCCAATCACAGGAAGTTTCTATAATGTCCTAATAAATTTTTTTTAGAAATTTTTTTAAATACTAGTGTTTGGGTCCTAACATGACTTACTGTTGTTTTCTTCTTTGTGTTTTTACCTTTTCTTTTGGAGGATGTATTTGTGTACTAGAGGTTATTTCATGTTGTAGTTCATTTGTTTCATGACTGTGAGGTGGCCTTATTTGGTTTTGTTCTCATGTTTTCCATTTATCTCATTTTCCATCTATTTTAAAAGTGACCATTCAATGTGCATGAATTTTGTGAAACGTGTCTGAATGTTTTAAAGTTTCACTCTTTTTTTTTTTAATTAAAAAGGAATAATGAATCTTTTTATTAGTTACTATGTGCTGTTACTGTTAAATTTGCAATTTCGTCTAATTAGGGATAATATTGTGCAACCTGTTTTGTTGTTTAAAGTATTTTATGCAGAAAGAAATTAATTCAGCACATTGTGTCCTGGTGTATTGTTTCACCATCCTGATGAAACTACTCCAATTAAAATTAGGTGAAATGTCAGTGTGCATTTGTTAACCTCTTTGACATGCTCAGTTCTCATGTATTGAATGTAGTGGTCACTAAACTTGTGCCAATTAATATCAGAAACGGCAGTAGTTTCCGTTAGGAGGGTCATGTGAAAGAAATTTTGACCATTTTGTGGTTGTTTACCTGCTTTTAGCTATAAAAACTAATGGTGATAAACATTTTGTTTAGTTAACATTTTAATTTTAGAGGAAGTGAATTGGTGTAACATGCCACTTGTGTGTAGATTATGAAATCAAGACAACGCAATATTACTTAATTCTAATTCACCATAAATTCCTGACATCAAGTTGGCATTTTCCCTTCTTAATTTTGTAACTACTATAGTGAGACTTTGGCTCTCATCTTCATGTATGGTAACAGAACATCCTCTTCTTTGCCCATGTTCATACCAAATAAAGTTAGCCTTTTTACCAATTTAACACTAAGAGACTGGCAGCAATAAGGGACAACTCTGGCCACTTGTTCCCTTTAACTTTTATTTCATTCTTAAATGTTTTCTCGGAGCAATTTGAGATCTTCTTATTTTTTTACATATCTTTGTGAGACTAAAGATTGAAAAAGCAAAATCAAGATCCGGTAAAATTTGTGAAAACTCGACAGTTGAATGCTATTCATTTGTGATCAATTTTTAAACTTTTCGTTTCAATAGTGCCTCTATGTCAACTTTATACATGATTTCCATTCCCCCCCTTTTTTTGCATGTGATGAGCAAATGTGTGAGTGATATGAAGAATGAATATTTTATTTGTATGGATGAATATGATAAATTGTCGATAAATCAAGTACCCTTGCGTTTTTCTTTCAAACACCCTACTAAACACTTTTAATGGACGTGGCTTTGATGAAATTTATTTTTTCTGACGAGTCAAAAGGACAAAAAAAGTTTCCTGCGGAACTGAGGGTGGCTGGGGTCGAGGGGGCGGTGAAATTGGTTGAGGGGGTCCGAGTGCGAAAGGATAGCTGGCTGCGGTCTCCACTATAAATGTTCCTCGAAGCCTGCAAACGGGCCAGAGCAGCTAGCATCAGATAGTCCGAAGTAGAGTAAGGGAAACAGTGGGTGATTGTCTTACGAGCTGTGCACGCCCTCCCCCATGAAGGCCCCCGCGAGGGTGTCCGTCGCCGCGTCCCGCTCCGCGGCCGCACAGTAGCCCCACGCGTAGTGGCCGTAGGACGAGCAGTAGCGCCCCCAGTGGGAGGATTCGTCCAGGATGGTCTCGGAGAAGTACACCGGCGCCAGCAGGTGGCTGCACAGCGGGATGTCTGTGGAGCGAAGTGTCGCGTCAGTTTAAGGACGGGCCCCGCACTTCCCTGTACACTGTCTCCTGTACACTCACTCCTGTCCCCGCCCGTGCAGAAGGGCTGCACGGAGCCGCCGTTGACGTAGAAGTCGGCGTGGCCCGTGGGCTCCACCTTGCCCAGGATGCCGGCGTTGGTGTGCACCACGTCCACGAAGTCGGCGTCGCCCGGGTCCAGCTTCCAGGACGGCGCCAGCGACGCGAACGCCGGCAGCGCGGGGTCCAAACCTGCGGACATGCGGACGGCAGCGAGTAGTAAGGGACTGGAGCCCTGCCGGCCGCCAGGCAGAGGGCAGGTCAGGGCGGGGCGTCGTCGGCATCCTGACCTGTGATGCGGCCCACGCGCTGGCCGGTGCGGGCCACGAGCTCGTCGCTGACGAAGGCCGCGATGTGGGCGCCCAGCGAGAAGCCGACGACGTGCAGATGCGGCGGCCGCAGCGACGGCGACGCCTGGCCGAGCCGCGCCAGCAGCTGCCCCGTGCACCGAGCCACCTGCCACGTGTTGACGACGGAGCTGGCGTAGCACGGCAGGTGCGTGAGGCGGCCCCAGTCCACCACCAGCACGTTGTAGCCGCCGCGGAGCAGGTAGGCTGCGGCAGAGGAACGGACCAACGCCACGCGCGCAGTCAGACAGCCAGCGCAGCTAGCGCCGGGAGGGTAGGCACCACCAGGACACGCCGCCCGGAGGGCAGGCCGTCCCGTTAAACACTGGTGGACGCTGGTTGCCTATCTCAGCTCGCCAGGCGCTCGGACGGAGGCAGCACCCTTTTAAAGAAGCCCCGCTACGCCGCTACGCCTACCTTGTCGCACCGACGACGTGAAGTTGAAGTCGACGCTACCGGCGAAGCCGTGGATCAGCACCTTGGTCGGCAGGTCCTCGTCGAAGTCGGCCGGCAGCCTGGGGTCGGTGACGGAGAGCACGGCCGGCCTGCCGTCCACCGAGCTGGAGCAGTGTGGAGTCGTCAGACGTCGCTCTGCCCATGGCTCTGCCCATGGCTCTGCCCATGGCTCTGCCCTTGGCTCTGCCGCGAATCTAACGAATTGCTAATTTATTCGGCCCGGTTGCCGCGGCCGGCCGGCCGGTTCCCTTCCCACCTGAACAGGTAGAAGATGATGCTGCCGCTGTCCGTGCACGGCTCGTACAGCTGCAGCACGCACGGCCCCAGGCTCAGCTCCAGCTTCTGGTCCCCGGTCGAGTGGCCGAGGGGCCTCGGAAGGGCTCCCACCACACCGGAAGTGGCGTGGGCGCCCGGAAACGCGCTCGGGGGCTCCTCGGGCTGCACTTCGAGCAGCAGCTCGGGGTCCGGCTGGTAAGAGTGCTAAACAAGCAGGGCTGAAAAGTGAGGATTCTGCCCCGCCGGCTTCCGGATTCGAACCAGGGACCTTGGGCTCACCTGCAAGTGCTCGAGGTCCGCGAACTGTGAGGCGTCCCAGTGGTCGGCCTGGTGGTGCTGGTCGGGCGTCCAGTGCGGCCACTCCCACTGCCCGGGCCACGGCGGCGGCGACCAGCCCGACGGACGCTGCAAGATCAGTCTGTCAAGGGAAGGCCAGGCGGTGTCAGGCGGACGGACGGGCAGCGGCGAGACAGAGGGACGCTGATTCCTAGACAATCTCACCGGTTCGTGGCGTCCAAGAGTCGCATCTTGGCGTCCCGCTGCCTCTTGGCGGCGTCCTCCCTTCCCTCGACCGGGACTGTACCGGAAAAAAGGCAGTGAGTTTTCACAACTTTTTAGAACCTTGTGTGTTTGTCTTTTTCGAGTCTAGGCGAGTCGGTGCTAACAAAGCTGCATCCTTGCAAGCCGCACTTTTCTGACTAGGGACCAAGGTGAAAAGGGCAGCTGACGGCCCATAATAATTTACTTTCTTGCGAGGGGAGCGTTTTTGTTTGCACTTTCAACCGTCTTAACAAGAAGTGACAGTAATCAAAAACTAGCCTTGTTTCACCGGTGATCTCTGTACGCCGCCCCCACCCGAGTACTTACAGGCCAGTGTCAGCAGCAGCAGCGGCAGTGCCACCAAGTTGGCTGCGATCATGACAGCGACTTCCACTCAAACACACACACGCACACACTGGCGAATATTCGCTGTTGCCCAGCGTCCTCTGTGATGCCGCGGTAGGAGCGCGTGGATGCGTGGCCTCTGTTCTACCCGGCCTGGCGATGTCTGTGGCTGACTGGCCTGGGGATTGGGGTTCGAGTGTTCGAGCCCCAGGCCCCGCCATGGCCCCGGGTCCCCTCGCGGGGCGGGGCGGCGACGGCGCGGTGGCTTCGCACTACCCGCTACCGTTACCCGACGTGTGACGTCACGACTCAACCCGAAACCGATCCGGCGGCCGGGAAGCCTCGGTTACTCCGCGCGGACTCTGTCAAAAACCTTTTCCAAAATACCAAAACCAAACTATTTTTCCCCCTTAAAATTTGATGGCAAAAAAAGAAAAATCTAACATAATTTATCAGCAACTGCTCAGTGTTCTATGTAAAAGGATGGGAAAATTATAAACTCTTTTTCATGTTGATTTATTATTTAATACATTAGCTTATGACTCTTAGTCATAGACTTTGACTAGATGTACAGGACGGAATGTAAAAGATCTATGCTAAGTCCTTTTAACACATGTGGTTTGGTGAAAATTTCAAATCAAAACAAGGCAGTGCAATTTTACTGGTGAAACACATTGTGAGCACAGATTGAGACAGGGTTACACAGTCAAATATGAGTTGGTATTCATGTCTTGTTGCAGAAGAGATTTGTCCCGTAGTCTTGCCTGAAGGAGGCTGTGCTCAAGGACCCCAATTTGCACATCCATGGCAGTTATTTCACTTTTCATGCGCCCAACAGCCCTCTTGATATTGACAAGTGGTGCTAGAAATAAATATGATCTTAATTATTAGATCTTGTATCAAAATATTTTTAAGCATGAACGAATTTTAGGAACCTACTTCCATCTGTCATACTGGAACCACGCTCTTCCATCTCCTGTTTGACAGCATCCAACTCTTCCGACACAAGAGCAAGAGCTCTCTGTCGCTCGGATACTCCCCCACTTACTTCTCGATATTGCTCTGACACACGGGCTAGCTCTTCCTACAAAAAAAAATATTTTAAAATTGGGGCCTTTTTTTAATAAATTTAAAAGCTGCTTTGACTTTTCTCAATTTTGGAAATGAAGTTATTACCTACCTGAACTGTTCTATATTCCACTAGGGTAGGATCCAGCTGATTGTTCAAAAATTTCTCACGACTCTTTATTTTGTCCATGGTTTGAGTGATATCACTGTATAGCTTATCAAGCCTGGTTTTTGCAGATGATAGAGATTCCTGAATTCCTTCGTGTTGGCTGTGCATTTGTTGTAAGTGACTACGCCAATCTCTAGAATCTAAGATGAATAGCAAGTAAAATTGGGAACCAAATTATAAATATATATACTAGAATAGAAACACAAGAGAAAAACAAAATTACCTGTTTTGATGGTTACTTTTAACTGAGGTAAAACTCTTTCCAATTCCAACTGCCAATCCTCACTAGTTGTTGTAGACTCCAGAATTTCCTCAGGTTTTTGTGATTCCAAATTGGCCTAAAAAAATTTGTTCAGTTTTCTTTCTTAACAAATTTAAGGGAAATAAACCATAATACATACCAAATCACTCCCTGGTAAAGTGCGGAGGTCGTCAATATTTAAAAGGTTGTCATCCTCATCATCTGAATAAACTGCAGCCATTTCTTCTTCCACTCTTTCTAAAAGAAGTTCAGAGTCATCTTCTTCCACTGTGTCATCCTCTGTTACCTCAGCTCTTGGTTCAGGTCTAGAGAGCAAAGGGAAGGAAAATTATGTGCCTGTCCTCTACATACACTAATGCACTAGTGATGATGTACGAACTTGCGCCACTTAAAGTTTGATGCCTTTAGAGCCTCGTCTGCCAATTTATCTAAAACCATTACGACATGCTGTCCGCATCCGGGTTTGAGTCGGTTTGGAGGAAAATCAACTGTCATACCCTTGATGAGAGGAAATCAGAGCATATAAATTAGTTCACTATTCTCAACATGATTATACACCTTCATTTGAGGTACTTACAATCTTCCGAACAAAGTCCAGAATAGAGGCAATAGCAGCATTCGGGTCATCAAACTCTTGTGGTTGTTCAAATTTTCCACCTGCTTTGCGTATAAGCCAAGCCGCTAGAGACGTAAACATGAAGAACTGCTCTCCTGGGTTGGTAGGAATAACAAAATAGTGCCTACAAGCAGAGAATTTTTTAAAAAGTATTGAAAAACACACAAATGAGTCCTGAAGACCCCCAATCCGGAGTTGTAACGAAATGGTACCTATTCAACGGCTTCATTTTTAAATCACGAATGAATTCCCGGTCATGGTTCAGCAATTTTAATTTGTCCAAAAGGCTCTCCATCACAAGGAACGGAGCGTAAAGTTGCCCCGGCCCCACGTCATTTTCGTCCGAAGGAGTAGGGATGGTGCCATCGTCTCCACTCATCTGGATGCCAAGATGTCAAAAACAACATAAGCATCCTAACCAAACCTGATCACAGCTCTCACAAAGCAGCCATTTTTTAAGAGATTGGGCGATGAATAATGTTCACAAGAAGTTCTGCGAGCTAACCTTCAACCCAGTTCTTCACAAAAGACGTAAATTTTAAGGTGACGGTTCTCTAATGCAGTTAAGCCACTAGAAATTGTGTTCTTCCCTCTGAGCATAAACAACTAACCGAAATAACAAACCGTCCGGCAGGGAAGATTCAGCCGGCCGGAAATAGAGCCTCTTTGAGCTTCCGGTTGTTGTGTCTGCTTAAGACTCCTTGTGTCTTTTCCCGCGAAAATCCTCATCCCGGCCGAACCAAAACAAAAGGCAGAAACTGGAAAGAAAGACTGCCAGCGAGTGTTGATTGTCTTTATCTTGATACGCTCGTCTCGCTTTGGAATCTGCAATGGATAAACGGAAGCAACCTTTCGGCAAAAGCCCTGCGCCGCCGAAACGTCCACGGTACTGCTAAATTTGTCAAGTTTCAACAAGTGTCCGTCCAACCTCATTACATTTCAGTTTTGATAAACATTTAATGTTAGAGTTTCCTTGTTGGTTCAGAATGACGGAGCCTGCGCTTGCTGTTTCATAATTTACACGCTTTTCAAATTTGGTACTCTTACCCTGTTCATTTCATGTCTGAAACTATTACCCAGGTTCAATGCGGGTCAATGGTTACTTGATTAATTTCAATAATACCCATTCCTGCTGCCTTTTTGATTGTACCTCTGTAAATGAATATTAAGGCAATTTTTTCAAGGCACATCTTTTCTTCTATTTCAAACTTTTTTCCTGCAGTGTGTTTTAGATTAACGGAAAAGTCCTTATTTAAATAATATTTGGTTACTATTTTGCATACTCAACTTTGTCTTCTATTGCAGGGCTGACGACGATGAAGATGATGAATTTCCCGGTACCTTTGAAGAGGAGTTGGCATTCATGGATGCCAATGAGGCAGAAATGGTCGAGGCTACAGGAGAGGTATAAAAGTGTTATAATTTTTGTGTTCTTAATTTTTGAGCTGCTCTAAAAAAAATTATGATTTGCATACTTAGATTATCAAATCATAGTCTGCAAATTGTGTATGCTTCTATCAGACCTTATAACCTATGGATGTATTTCAGTTTGTTCCTTGTATGAAAATAACTACGATGTTAGTCTATCCTATTCATCTTCAATAAGATTTTTTTCTCTTATCATATTCTAACGTTTTGAAGTCTAGATGCCAAGTGTTTCAGCTTTTCAGATGTTCTTAGGGAGTCTTCATTTGTTCTAGCCATTGCATTGCCAACTGCGTTTTTGCACTAGTGCACTTTTTTGTGTACACAATGTTTCAAATTAAGAGTTTTTTTTCTTAAATTAAAAGTTTTTGGAAGATGTGTTTGGTTTTGCTACCAATTTTAACATTGTCAAATAATTTGTTTACAAAACTACTCAACCCGTTATATTTTGCACTATTAGGTGCATCCTGGACTGCAATGTTTTGACAACAATGGCAGATCATCACATTCGCTTTAGTAAGGTTAGACACTTATTTTAACCAAATGCAATGCAACTGGCTTAGCAAATGGCAAATCAGTGTAAACTGTTGCTCAGATTTGTTTAAGTCATTCAATGGATAGGTGTATCATAAATCAGTACAGTATTGCCATCATAAGTTATCAGTCTTAGACGGTTGATGCATTCCCTCTGACACTTCCCCGTCCTATTACTTAGAATATACTCGTTGCATAACTGACTAACCACTCTTTACGCAGCCTTTTTGTGCACATTGAATCTCATGTTTTCTAGGTTTCTTACTTCCTCTCAAGTTTCAACCATTACATGTTTTGATACAATTTTTTTGTAACTTTCTTTTTAGGGACCAGACACTAATCAGACCTCAGTGAAATGGAGCCGTCCTGCCCCTCCTCCCTTGGATCCACAAAAGGACAATTTAACTTTTCAACAGATCGATGTGGACCATTACACTGGTGAGGTTTCATTCATTGAATCCACCCCTTTTTATAATTTATTTTTCCTGCAACTTATGAATGAACTTTTTTGTTTTTAATTTAGGGAGTCCCATGGCTGGAATGCCTGGTGCTCAGAGTGGACCAGTTCCTGTGATGCGGCTCTATGGTGTTACAATGGAGGGTAATTCAGTGTGTTGTCATGTTCATGGTTTCACTCCATATTTTTTTGTATCAACCCCAAATGGATTCAATGATAGTCACTGCAAGCCATTTAAGGTATAATTGATTATAAAATTAATTTTGTGTTCCTGGTTATTGTTTTCTAATTTCTTGACACTTGATTTTACATTTTGTTAACACTCTTTCAGGATTCTTTAAATAAAGCTGTTTTAGCTGATATGAAAGGAAATCGTGACAATGTTCAAGAAGCTGTGCTAGCTGTTGAAATTGTCAAGAAGCAAAGTTTGTATGGGTATCGTGGTGATGATATGCAGCAGTTTCTTCGTGTGACAGTGGCACTGCCTCGCCTCATTGCACCTTCCAAGAGATTGCTTGAAAAAGGTGATGTGTTTACTGCCTTAGGTACTCACGCCTTCACTAGCTATGAGTCAAACATTGATTATGACATCAGGTAAGTGCTTAAATGTCACTTGAATTTTTCATTCAATCATTTTCTTTTGATAAATGAAATTTCTTTTTAATTTCTCAGGTACATGGTGGATGCAAATATGGTCGGTTGCAATTGGATTGAGCTGCCAACTGGACACTGGAAGATGAGGCAAAAAAATAGCTCAACCCTTCCATTTGTATCAAGATGTCAACTTGAAGTGGATGTCTCATGGGAAAAGTTAATCTCTCATCAACCTGAGGGAGAATGGGCAAAGGTGGCTCCCTTCCGTATTCTCAGTTTTGATATTGAATGTGCTGGACGGAAAGGTATGCCCTAACTTTCATGAGGGTTTGAAAGGATTTTGTGTTCTGTGCTCTAAGTGACGTATTTTTTGTTTTTGTTTCAGGTATTTTCCCAGAACCAGACCATGATCCAGTCATTCAAATTGCCAACATGGTTATCAAACAAGGGGAAGCAGAACCTTTCATACGGAATGTTTTCACCTTAAACACATGTGCTCCCATTGTGGGGTGCCAAGTCATCAGCTGTGATAAAGAAACTGAAATGCTAGAGGTAATTATTTTTGGAAAATTGTGTCCCCATATTCCATAGTCTTGTCATGTCTGTTGTCCATTATATAGTGACTTGTTTTCCAGAAATGGGCAGATTTTGTAAGGGAAGTTGATCCTGATATTTTCACTGGCTACAACATCACAAACTTTGATTTTCCATACTTGATTAATAGAGCCAAACATTTGACTGTGCGCAACTTTTCATTCTTGGGAAGAATTAAAAACATCCAATCTGTAAGTACTTACTGCTTTGACTATTTATTTGTTTTACCACATTGTTAATTTTTTTAAATAAATATTTTGTTGTTGTTGTAGGTCATCAAAGATACACAGTTGTATAGTAAACAAATGGGCCGTCGAGAAAATAAGAGTGTCAACTTTGAGGGCCGAGTACCTTTTGACTTGCTTCTTGTGCTTGTCCGAGATTATAAGTTGAGATCTTACACTTTGAACGCTGTCAGTTACCATTTCCTTCAGGTGTGTGTTTCTGTAATCAAAGTAAGTTCATTTTTACTCCTTCCTTCATTTAGTTATTTCATCTCCATTTTATAATTTTAGGAACAAAAAGAAGATGTGCATCACTCAGTCATCTCAGACCTTCAAAACGGCACTGCTCAGACTCGCCGCCGTCTGGCTGTTTACTGCCTCAAAGACGCCTATCTTCCACTGAGATTGTTAGAAAAGCTGATGTGCATCATCAACTACATGGAAATGGCTCGTGTAACTGGAGTGACTCTGGGTAGTCTGCTTACTAGAGGCCAGCAAATAAAAGTTGTTTCTCAACTTTTGCGTAAAGCCAAGGAGCATGACTACATCATGCCCACCTACCAAAGCAGTGGAGGGGAGGACCAATATGAAGGTGCCACTGTTATTGAACCTAAGAGAGGGTATTATGGTGACCCGATCTCAACTCTGGATTTCAGTTCTCTATACCCCAGGTTGGTTTTGTTTGTGTATCTTTGTAATTTTGTGCCTCCTGCAAATATGGTTTCTCTAACACCTATTACTTTGTTTCAGCATCATGATGGCCCATAACTTGTGTTACACAACACTTCTCCAGGGTAACTCGAAGGAAAAACTTGGACTGACGGCTGATCAGTACTCACGAACCCCTGCCAACAATTACTTTGTGAAAGCATCGGTGAGTACAATCAGTACTATACCTGTCTAGTTATGGCCTTTGATCTTGATAACTTATCTTGCATTCCAGGTACGCAAAGGGCTTCTGCCGGACATTCTGGAGAGTCTGTTGAATGCTCGTAAAAAAGCCAAAGCAGACCTAAAGAAAGAAACGGATCCCTTTAAGCAGAAAGTGCTTGATGGTCGTCAGTTAGCTTTAAAGATTTCTGCCAATTCAGTCTATGGTTTCACAGGCGCCCAAGTAATAAAAATTTTCCTTTTGATTTCAAAATGTCTGAAGTTTGTGTCCAATTGTTGCGAATGTCAATCTTTTATTTTTTTGACTACATAGGTAGGAAAACTGCCATGCCTTGAAATATCTGGAAGTGTCACAGCTTATGGTCGTACCATGATTGAACAAACCAAGACTGAGGTTGAATCGAAGTAAGTTTTATGCTCTTAAGTTTCTTCACCTAGAGTGGTCTTAATTTTATGACGTACTCATCTGGGATTCGACTTACAGATATCGCATTGAAAATGGATATGAATATGATGCTGTTGTAATTTATGGAGACACGGATTCTGTGATGGTTAAATTTGGTGTCAAAACTTTGGAGGAAGCCATGAGATTAGGTCAAGAAGCTGCTGAATATGTTACATCTAAATTCATTAAACCTATCAAACTAGAATTTGAAAAAGTGTATTTTCCCTACCTTTTAATTAACAAGAAAAGGTTGGTATTCCTGTCTCATTCACTCATAAATGTTTCAGTGAAAGAAGTTCATTTACATCTTAATGTTGCTTCTCCTTAGGTATGCTGGATTATACTTCACTCGAGCTGATAAGTATGACAAAATGGACTGCAAAGGATTAGAAACAGTTCGTCGTGATAATTGTCCTTTAGTTGCCAACATGATGAACACATGTCTGCAGAAGATTCTTATTGACCGTAATCCTGATGGTGCTGTTGCATATGCCAAACAGGTGAGAACCAATGTGAAGTTTCAATCAAATAGAAATGTGCTGAACTTGAGTTTCATATTCACACTAAAAATGTTCAACCCTTCCAGATTATTTCTGATCTACTGTGCAATCGCATCGATATATCTAATTTAGTTATTACCAAAGAATTGACCAAGTCTGATTATGCAGCTAAACAAGCCCATGTTGAACTAGCTGCAAAAATGAAAAAGCGAGATCCTGGAACTGCGCCAAAGCTTGGAGATCGAGTGCCCTATGTGCTGATCTCTGCCTCTAAAGGAACCCCAGCCTACATGAAAGCAGAGGTACATACTTTGAGTCACTGTATGGTGACAAAGTTAAAAGAAGCTCCCTTCCTTGCATCTGTACTGAAACGTTCTCCTCTTGTTCTAGGATCCCATCTATGTCCTTGAAAATAGTATTCCACTTGATTTTACCTATTACTTAGAAAACCAACTGTCAAAGCCATTGCTGAGAATATTTTCTCCAATTTTGGGAGACAAGGCAGATTCCATATTACTCCGTGAGTAGTCAATGTGTGGCCCATGCCATAATTTGCCCTTTTCTTGGACCTCCTCAATGTGTATGTGTTTGACTCCAGGTGGTGACCACACTCGCACTCGAGCCGTGGTCACGTCGCGGGTCGGTGCTCTATCTGCCTTCACTGTCAAGCGCCAGACCTGTCTGGGGTGCAAGGCGGTTTTGCCCAAAGACCAAGAGAGCAATGCACTGTGTTCACATTGCTCCCCAAATGAAGCCAAGTTGTTCCTCTCAGAATTGACAAAATATCGCACTTTGGAAGACAGGTTCAGCAGATTGTGGACCGAATGTCAGAGGTGTCAAGGGTCATTACATGAAGAGGTCCTGTGCACCAGGTGAGTGTACCACATGCCAGACTTTAAACTAAAATCATTGTCACTGCCAAGTGTCTGCAAAGTTCTAACTTGCAATTTTCATCTGATTGTAGCCGAGACTGTCCCATCTTCTACATGCGTAAGAAAATCCAAATTGAACTTGATACTCAAGACAAATCTCTCCAGCGTTTTGGTGACCCAACTTGGTGATAGCTGTGATTCTGGATGTCTTTGGGATCAATTATTATAGTGCTTGAAAATGTGTTCTGCTCTGCCATCATGGATATTTTACTAAATTATGATCATCAGTAAAAATTTCAATTTTTATCAACTTTTTTTACCTGTGCATGTACTTATGCTGCTTCAGATTTGCATGCAGTGTTTGTAGACAATTGTTTTAGTGAAATTTTGTTTTTCATGTATGTTTTAAACTAAGTTAAATGAAATAAAGCCGACTTCAGCAGAAGTTTTATTTATTTTAAGTGCAAGTTCTGCACTCAAAAATCACAGATAAAATAATACTATAAAAACATACCAGATTTATACAAAGTAAGCCTTGAAAATATGGAGTGTTTGTTAAACCTTTTTAGGCTATAAATAAGAGCTATACTGTAACATGCTGGAAGTGAGGGCGAGTCAATTTTACCATGTCACCTCAATATCAAATTATTTAAAATATCTAAAGCCATGGCTAAGGAACCCCTGAGTGGGCTTACCTCCAGTACTATTTGCTCATAAAAATCTATTGATACAGGCAACAAAAAATTTATCAAAGTAAATGCTTACAATTTTACAGCACTAAAACAAATAAACAATTTTATATCAATATCACAAACCTTTTGATTGCTGCCCATGGGACTTTACAGTGCAGACGTTTCATAAATTGTCATTTTCTTTACCACTCGTACAAAATTTGCTTCACTATTTACATTTGATTTTATAATATAATTTAACTTTTTTTCTTAGATTCAAAGACCCCTCAAACATCTTGTGATAAAAAGCAGTTTGCATTGAAAAGTTTGAAATGTACACTCCCATATTGCTTTCATTAATTCCACAACTTGGAGGTTGAAACTTGGAGGTTGATCAGTTAAAGAAGGAAGAAACTTAACAATACAGCGTGAGCACATACATCAGAATTGACTGCTTTATTGTATCTTCCTACATTGGGAGTTAAGTAATAAACTAAGTTTAAATAGCAGCCTGCAGAGAACAACCGATGACAGTAGGTGACGTATTTTTTTAACAATGGAAAATTACAGAAAAAAAGCCATTCACATCTAAATTGAGCTAGCCATGATGGCTGATAAAAATAATCACCTTTTGCAATTCGGACCTAGAGAAAACTGCAGACTACTTTTCAACCACCAAGCACTTGAAAGAGCGCTTATAAAACTTTACTTATGTACACCCCCTCATCTGATAGTCAAGTCTTAAATATTTGTGTAAATGGACATGATGATTTACAGAGATCTCTGGCTTTCGCTCCCAGCACATGATCATGAACACATACTCATATAGTCAACCACAGCAATTAACAAGATCACAGAGTTTGTTGTGTTTTGCTGGAAGTCTTCTTGAATTCATTTCGCAGGGAACTCCCATCACTCTATGGCCTGGCATGAGCGGCTACCCGCCCTTTTCTGATGGCATCATAGGTCGAAACCACGACTCTGTGAGAAGTCCCTTCCAGTCATGTTCCATTCGAGGCTTACGCATCAGAGTGACGGTGATCCAGTTCTGAGCCTGCCTCTCAGGCGTCGGCAAAGTTCTATTTTCCCTCTGGAACGTCATCGGGCACTGGAGTTCCGGGCCCAAGAAGACTTCCAGCTGAAGCGGGGTTCCGGGAGGCCGGGCGGAGGCCGGGCGGCCTGGGTGCGGCCGGTGCGGCAGTCCCCCGCAGCGAGGGAGACGTCTTGATGTCGGCCTGCCGGTGCTGCCGGCGACACCCAGCCCCTCACAGGCCCCCTTGAGCGTGGAAAGGGTTGGGGTGGGGGGTGTGCGGCGCGTGCGGCGTGTGGGGGGCCATGGCGTGGGGGTGCGGCTCCTGGGGCGCCCCCAGCATGCCCCCCTGGGGGCCCTGCGCCTGCGGGTCGCCCTGCGGGTAGCCGGGCTGGCCGGGCTGCCCCGTCCGCGTCCCCGGGTTGGGCTCGGGCGTGTACGTGAAGGTGAGCCCCGTGGCGTAGATGATGCCGTCGCTGCGCACCAGCGACACGGGCACCTGCACTGGCTGCAACGAAAAATCCAAAGTCACGAACCGAATCCAGGGCGATCCAAAACCCCGTCCCACCGGTACTGACCTGCGACGGCTGCCGCCCCCACCCCCACTCGCCCCTGAAGGCGGAGATCTCGGGCACGACGCACAGCAAGCTCTCCTGGCACCGGTACATGGTGTCGGCCTCCACGTCGCCGAACCACACCCGCAGTGACGGCGACAGGTTCTCCCCCGTCAGCTCCAGCATGGCCACGTCGCCGCCACCGTTCAGCTGCGAGAGATCGAAGGTTCAAATACCGGAAAAAAGTCCGTTTTTGTTTTCAGTTTCGGGACGGCGCTTACGTGCAGGCTGTGGACGACGGGCACGGGCGTGACCGGCGCGCGCACGGGGCCCATGCCCTCGAAGAACTGGTACTCGGCCTTGTCCGTGCTGATGATGGTCCAGGACGCGCCGTCGTTCACCATCTCCTTGTTGGGCTCCTTGGGGCACGGCGTCGCCTGCACAGTGAACACACCAAGTCTATAAGTTTTGTTGCCCACCTCCCGGCTCAAGCACCAGTCTCTCTTCCTCTCTCTGTGACTCGTAAACGTCCGTTGCGTTCCGACCGCCCGTCACTAGCACAGGCTGGTCGTTTGGGTTCGATTCCCATTGGACGTCATGCCTCTTTCTCTATCATCCGCCAGTGCTAGCGTGGCTCGTAGCGTGGGGAGGTGTGGCCGAATAAGGGCCGGACGGTCCAAAGGTTTAACGCGCAAATTAAGGACAATAAAATAAATTAAAATAAATGACTTTCATTTTACCTGGAACTGGATGATCCGCTCCTGCGACAGGCACAGGTACATCCGCTCGGTGTCCTTCATGTAGAAGGCGCACTTGTGCAGCTGGCTGACGGGGTCGTCGGCGTCCAGCAGCGCCATCTGCTTGTCCACCTTCCGGATCACGAGCCTGGGCAGCGCCATGCCCGTCACCGAGCACACCAGCTTCACCGTGGACCCGTAGTGGATGTAGCCGTCCCGCACCGAGAACTCCTCGGACTCGGACTCGTTGTCGTCCACTGTAATTTATTTTTAAAAACGAAACCCTGTTAGAATACTTGAACAGAACGTGTGACGCGTTTTGAGCTCCAGAGTCGCTTAACGGGACTCGAACCGAGCGTGTGACGCCACCATTGGATTGCTCTCCGAACGAGGAATCCACTGGTGGGGTCGCACGTTCGATTCGAGTCCTATAGCGACTCTGCGAGCTCGAAACGCGTCCGGAACTTTGGCCGCCTCCACCGGTCTTGTGGCACTCACGGAGGTGGATGGTGAAGGCGCCCCACTGCGTGGAGCTGGCGTGGAAGTTGCCGCCGTCGACGTGGAGGTACCGCGTGCTGACCGTCTGCGACCGCAGCCTGTTGAACAGCGCCACCTTGGTGCCGCTGGCAATACACACTGAAAAGAAATGAAAATCAATAAATAAAACATTTACACATACTTCAAAAAAATAATGTAATGTTCAGTTGGATCGACGCTTACGGTCTGCGTTTTTGAGCGACTGCTTCTTTTTGGAAGGCTTGCTGATGACTTTTATCCGCTTGGAGTGGAAGACGCCGATGTCGTGGCCGTTGCCGAAGAACATCTTGACGGTCAGCATGAAGTGCTTCCGCTTGTCCGAGTCGGAGATGAACAGCGTCTTCGCCGCGCAGTATTGCTGCAAGAAGGAAAGGAGGGGATTTTTTTTTTCGAATTCAGATTAATCATTTGAACCGAACGTGTGACCCCACCAATGGATTCCTCGTTCGGAGAGCAATCCATTGATAGGGTCACACGTTCGGTTCGAGTCCTGTTGAGCGACTCCGGAGCTCAAAACGCGTCTAGAATTTTGGCCGCCGCCCACCGTGCGGTGTACCGGTGTACTCACCTTGCCGGCCAGGTCGAGCTGCTGCATGTCCTGGTCCGCGCCGCCGATGCCCATGAAGGCACACAGCTGCGCGCCCTGCTCGGACTCGCCCTGTCGTAGCAGGGCCTCCTGCCGCCGCCGCCAGCCCTGGCCCACCAGGTACAGGCACGGCGGCGGGCAGAAGAACCGCTTCTCGTTGCCGTACGACTTCTGGGCCACCTTGGCGTGCAGCACCACCAGCGTCAGGTCCATGCGCTCGCGGAGGTAGCGCTGCATGGCGTCGCGCGTCAGCCGCTGCTCCTTGGGCCGCGCCAGGAACGCGCTGCAGCAACAACAACAACAGTGTCAGCGTCGCGAGGCCCACTCTCAGCAACAACAAACAAGTGTCAGCGCGCGAGCCCAACTCTCAGCAACAACAAGAGTGCCAGCGCGCGAGCCCAACTCTTAGCAACAACAGAGTGTCGGCGCCGGGAGGCCCACACTCAGCAATAACAACAAAGAGTCAGACCAACAACAGTTTTTATTCCTTGACGAGACGGCTTCTGCCTTCAGAGCGGCCAAAGTCACCTCGGCGCCAAAGCCAAAGTCACCCTGCCGTGGCGAGCCGAGCCGGGCCGAGCCGCTACGACCGGTGTGGTGCCTCCATACGTCGGCTGGCGGGGCTGGAGGGGCGCGGGGCCTAGCGGGGCCTAGCGGGGCCCCTCCAGGGGGAGGGGGAGGGGGAGGGGGAAGCATCAAGCCCCGCCCCGCGCCATGCCCGGCGAGTGCTGTTGGCGTGGGGCCTGGTGGAGCCTGGTGGGGCCTGGGCCGGGAGGCGAGGCGGGACTTATGGGAGTGGGGCGTGCCAACCAGCGCGCAGCCTGTGCCTCTCCCTCGCACTCCTGCCTCACTCTCTGTCTCTCTCACTCACTCTGGGTGCTCTCCACCTTCACTGCATCACACAGAGACCCGCAGGAAAAGCCAGCCCCGTAATGAGCGGGCAAACGCGACAGTCGACGGGGTGGAGTGAAAACGACATCGGCATGGCGGGGCGAAGCGCGGGGCGAAGCGCCCGCCGGAGCGAGGGTACCCAGGGTAGGCCAGCCCGCCGAGCAGCGCGGCGCGGCGTGTTTGCCTGCCGTCACGGCGGCGGAGCTGGCCGAGCCAGGGCGCACAGCGGACGCACGTGGCCAGAACTCCAAAACTCTAGACGCGTTTTGAGCTCCAGAGTCGCTAAACAGGACTCGAACCGAACTTGTGACCCCACCAATGGATTCCTCGTTCGCAGGGCAATCCGGCAATCCATTGGTGGGATCACACGTTCGGTTCGAGTCCCATTTAGCGACTCTGGAGCTCAAAACGCGTCCGGGATTTTGACCGCCTCCACGGTCTTCCGGCCCACTGTGGGGCGGGGCGCTGGGAGCGCTGCTGAGCCGCCGGACAGCCTGTCGCCCATTGGCTGCTCCGGACAGTCAGACGGACAGTCAGACGGACAGTCAGACGGACAGACAGACGGACAGACAGACGGACAGACAGACGGACAGACAGACGGACAGTCAGACGGACAGACAGACGGACAGTCAGACGGACAGACAGACGGACAGTCAGACGGACAGTCAGACGGACAGTCAGACGGACAGACAGACGGACAGACAGACGGACAGTCAGACGGACAGTCAGACGGACAGACAGACGGCAGACAGACGACGATCAGTCGAGGCGCGGCCAGCGGCGTGGGCGGTGTCTGCATGCTGATGCCGAACTGCTGGTGCAGCTGCTGCTGCTGCTGCAAGTGCTGCTGGTGGTGGTGTTGGTGGTGCTGCTGCTGGTGGTGGTCCACCACGCCGTTCATCTTGGACTCGCCGCCATGGAGGAGGTGCGCCTCTCTCTCTGTAAATAACGACAAATTTAAGTACAGATCGCAATAAATTTTAAATTTTTGTTTTTTGGCGGCTGGACTCACCGTACGACGCCAGCTCGGCGGCCGACGCGGGGGAGTCAGGCGGCAGGCCGGCCGGGTGGCCGGCGGGGTGGCTGGGGGCGGTGTGCGGGGGCGCGGCGGGGGTGGCGGGGGCGGGCTCGGCGGGCCAGGTGACGCGCGGGGAGTACCGCGACAGCGGCCACAGACTCGCACCGCCTCCTGGAAAAAACAAAATGCCGCAATTCGTGAAAAAACGCAGCGACGCGTTGACGGTCCGTCGCTCCGCAACCCCGAGGACCAGCGCTCAAATCCAAAGATTCCACAGAATTTTTTTTGTGAGAGTGTTGCGGAGTGAGTTACAGGTGGCATAAATGTGTAGGAAGCTCGGCAGGAGTGTGGCCAGACAGGCTTCCATGATGCTATTTCCGTCCGTCCGTCCGTCCGTCCGCACGCGGCATGACCGTGACACGTCATCACATTTCATCTCTCCTTTGCTTTTTCCTGAGGCCCGGCACGTGTTTCTAACATTCCCCAAAACTTGCGCCGGCATGCAGGGAAACCTATCATTCGCTTTAAATTCAGACTCGTAAAGTGGGGCCGCTGTCCAGGGCCGTTTCTCTCTCCCTCTCTCTCCCTTGCTTTCCCAAGGGTGCGCTTCCCGGTTCCCGGTTCCAAGAGTTTCCGCTGTCCGCCTGACACGCTGGGATCATCCGTTCAATTAAGAGGATACACACCACAACATCATTCCGGGACCGTGCCGACCGTGCCGACCGCGCAGCCCGCGCCGACCGTGGGAACGCTCAAGGCGGCCGCCTGGCGCCTCGCGGGGCGCGTTCCAAAACAGCAAAAAAAAAGGTGGTTTGGAACGCACACTCCAACGGGGGCTTGCGTGTGCTGCGTGTTGCCACGTCGACGGACAGACGGGCTAACAGGATGACAGACAGACAGACAGACAGACAGACAGACAGACAGACAGACAGACAGACAGACAGACAGACAGACAGACAGACAGACAGACAGACAGACAGACAGACGGACAGACGGACAGACGGAAGACAGACAGACAGATGTGTCGCTTTGAACCGGAGCCTCTTACAGTGCACAGGGGAAACGGATGGAAAAGACAAAAACATCGCGAAGCGGACAACCGGACGGCGCGGTTTTCGGGGAAGCAAGGCTGACGCTCAGCGTCGCTCCCTCTCTCTCTCGCACCCCTACGGGCCGCCCCGCGAGTGCGAGAGAGAGGGACCGATTGCTGTACAATCGGCGTCGTCGTTATGCGAGACGGAGAGGACGTCGCTAGAAATCGGAGCCACTTTGGACTCAATTACCGCGAGGGCCCCTCCGCAGTGTCTCTCCGAAGCCTCTCCGACGAGCTCCCGAAAGATTTTTCAGCAATCCGTCCCGATCCACTAGCTAAATCGTTCAGTGCATACTAACTCCTGGTCTAAAAAGTTTTCGTAGTGCAACGACAGAAAAGGGGCACTTTTTTAACGGTGTCTGCACCGCGACCGCGAGGCGGAGCCTACTCTGGCACGAATTTACAGTGACGCTACACGCGCTGGCGGCAGCCTGGTTCTGTCTCCGTCGCACCCCCAAGGCAGCCTGCGGGACGCCCCTTGAGTGCGAGAGAGACGGAGGGAGCAAGTCTGGCAGCCCTCAATGCCCACAATGCGCCCTCAGCGCGATAAATGTGTGAATTTCTCATAGCGAGCTTTGTGGGCGGTGCTGCTGCCCAGGCCGGGCCGGCCCGGGCTGGCCGCAGGGCCGAAGGTCGCTCGCCTGAAAGGCCTAGTCACGAACAAGACATCGCCAAAACGACCTCTTCCTGCCTGGCCGGGCCTCGCGGGCCTACAGTGCCGGGCCACCGCTCCGGCAGTGTCCACGCGGACGGTCTGCTTCGAGGCAGGCAGCGCCGGCCCGGAACCGGCCGAAAACCGCGTCGCCGGTTGACGGCATCCTGAAGGCATCCGAAGCCTGGATGACGAGACCCTACGACGCACAGTGGATTTGCCAGAAGACCGGTGGAGGCGGCTTAAACTCCAGAAGCGTTTTCAGCTCCAAAGTCACTAAACAGGAATCGAACCGAACGTGTCTGGAGTTTTGGCCGCCTCCACCGGTCTTCTGGCAAATCCACTGTGCGACGCGCGGTGCGACGGCAAGGAGAGGTCGATGGCTGACGTTATGACCTGACGGCCTGACGGCGCACCTACTCGGTAGCGACGGCCAGACGGCGGGCACACTGCAGGCGGACGGCCATTGGTGCCCAGAGGCCCACCGCTGTCCCTCTCGCACCCCCACAGTACCCCACAGGACGGCCCACGAGTGCGAGAGAGGCAGAGCACTGCAGCCTGCGGGGCGCGCGGCCGAGCGTGACGTCATCGAGTCACGGCCGTGCCTCCGCCGTGTTCAATATGCGTCGCGGGCCTGCAGGCTGTCTCTCTCACTCTCACTGTCGGAGGGAGCGAGAGAGAGACGTCTTCTACTAACTCCGGGGTAGGCGACGGAGTTGGCTAGCGGTGTTCGCCGAGAGCAAGCCGCCCTCTGATTGGTCCAGCGTGCTCCGCGGCGGCCTTGGCAGCCAATCAGGGGGCTCTATCCAACGCGCCTTGTCTTCCCGCTCATCCGGGCGCTAGCAGGGCGCAGAGCTCGCCGGCCCCGACGCCCGGCCGGCCCCACGGGCCCACGCTACAGTGTAGGGCCCCACAGCCATGGCGGCCAGGGGCAGAGGCGGCCAGCAAGCAGCCAGCAGGCTGGGTCCGGACCGTCGCCCCGTCTCTCTCGTACTCGCAGGCCGGCCCGCACGGGTGCGAGGGAGACGAAGCTCTGCTCGGAATCGCTCGGCAGCCCGCCCTTCTCGGCGTGGGAGCCGCAGCAGCTGACAGCTGCGATCAATTCGGGGCGGGGTGGCTCGCGGGGCGGGGCGGGGTGGGTTTGGCGCGGGGCGGGCGCGGGGCGGGGCGGGGCGGGGCGTGGCGGCAGCGCACCTCAGGAAGGTATATGGGCGACCGCCGGCCACGGCTTCCCACTTCCCACAAAAGCGGACGACTTTCAAAGTATTTCCGCGGCGCTACGCGCTATACGCCGTTCGGCGATGCCTTGCCTCCCTCTCTTTCTCTCTCTGGAGCACAAAGGTTGAAGGTCGAAACGGAAAAGGAAATGTTTACATTGCATATGCGTCAAATTTTCAAAAGTCGCCAACGAAGCACGTGATTTTTACGCTAGGGTGCAACCCGTTTCAATCAAAAGCAATCCTAAATTTTTAACTAAAGAAAAATCATGTCTACTGGAACTGATTTTTATTACCACGCCAGCATGGGCATGGGTGTCCGTATCCAGAGCGTATTACAAAAAAAATTATTATTTTTATAAAAGAAATTGAAAGCGAAGATCAATAACACCCTCGAGGATAACGGTGCCCGCTCTCGCTCGCGAAAAGTGACAGTACGCGGCGTGACTTATCCGAGGCGGCTTCCCAGCCCAGAGAACCACGTGGCGGAACTTCACACAGAGCGGGGAAAAGCGCCGGGGAGGGGGGGCACATCTCCCCGCACCTTCTCAAGGCCGCTGTCGTGCGCCGGCCGGGTGCAGCCGGGTGGCACCGAGCAGCCCGAGAGGGTCTTGTGCTGCGAGCGACGTATCGTAACGTCGCCGGTAGCTCCATTGCCCTGCCTTGTGTACTGAGAGAGGAGGTGGACACTTTCCAGGATTTCCAGGGAGCGCGGGGGAAGTTCTGGACTAACAGTGAGCATCACTGGAGGCTGGGCTGCGCCCCAGCCTGCCTTGCGCGCCCTAACGGTGCAGGGCCACACCTGGGCAAGCCTAAGGGTGCAAGGGCGACCTTGACGCAGGGCGCGACGCTCGAAGCCAGCAAGCCAGGTGCACCTGCACTGGAGTGTGGAGGCGGCCAAAACTCCAGACGCGTTTTGAGCTGCAGAGTCGCTAAATGGGACTCGAACCGAACGTGTGACCCCACTAATGGATTGATCTCCGAACGAGGAATCCAGTGGTGGGGTCACACGCGTTCGGTTCGAGTCATGTTTAGCGCCTCTGGAGCTCAAAACGCGTTTCGGACTTTGGCCGCCGGCGCCGGTCTTCTGGCGAATCCACTGTGCCGCACCTACCCGGGAAGTGCAGCGTAGGGTCGAGGTGGGGCATGGCGAGGTCCCTGAGCGACAGCTCGGCGGGCTTCATGTCCAGGGCGTCCAGGTCGTGGTCCCGGTGGGCGGCCCGCGGCGCGGCGTGCGGCGAGCCCTGGGGCCCGCGCGCAGAGGGGAAGGGCGACGCATGGTCCCGGACGCGGAGCCGCGGAGCTGGCCCCGTCGTCGACGGCGACCTGGACGACGGCGGCGACCGCGCGGCGGGTTAACAGCGCACTGGACGGGACGCCGCGCGCGCTCTGCCACGCGTGTCGCACATGACACACACGCGGTGGTTCGCGATGTCGTTCGGACGGACGGACGACGCGGTGCTCGCGGTGCTCGACGTGCCCGTCGTGCTGGCGGTCCTTCGCGGCGGCTGTCCTGGACGCGACTGAGTCGCCGGCGGCGCGAGGGGGTTCGACCGAGCGCGGCCCACCCTCCACCCCCACCCCCGGCAGCCCGGCCCGGCCACCCGGCCACCCCGGCCACCCCGGCCACCCCGGCCACCCCGGCCACCCCGGCCGCTTCCCCGTTCAGTGTCAGGGTAGTAATAACAACACTATTCCGAGCCATGAATAGCAATCGCCGGGCTGGCCGGCTCCATCACACTGCTATTGCCCCAGACATGCGTCATCACGGCGGTTTCAGACCGCGAGCTACGACATCATGACTTTTAAAATTCGTTTCGAAAACTCAATGTGCAAATGTGCACACTGCAAAAAGAAAAACAACAATTAAATTTTTTATCACGACACTGTAAATTTCGCAAAGATAAGCGCGCCCGTGCGCGCGCAAAACCCCGAGCAGGGCCGAGGATTTTGTTATTGTTCTTTTTCTTTTTCTAAATCATGACGAATTTAGTGGCGCTGCTGCAGGGACTTGACATTACTACGGCGCGAAAACATGAGGACGTGGCGCGGCTTGGCGCGCCATCCTTTCGCCACCGCCCCG